ATCGTCGAAACATTGTGGCTCATGAAAGTACTCGAACGATCGTCACAGAAAAACCTTCATGTGTAGATTATGTGTTTTCAGGAAGTTTCATTGACAGTTCAATGACAAACATTTAGGATCAATTTGAAAATGTATATAGTAGTTACGAGATGTTGCAAATATATATATTTGGTAAAAATTAATGTATATAATAAGTGTGACTGAATATCGACTGATCAGTGATAAACTATTTAAGTATTTTATTTTAGAAATACATTTAACATTGTAAATAGTATATTCGTAGATTTCTTTCACATTCGATCAATGAAATCACTGCTCACTGCTATTTTAATGAAATAAATATATAATCCATACATTTTACAACGAATTTCTCCAATTATTGCCACGGTTGGTCTCTAAATTTCCTTCTTTTGCCTCACAATGCTTCGTACGTTCGTGTCTCTTAAATTTCTTATTCACAACCGCCAGCTATATCATTTCCATCGGATGTACGTTACACATGTACGGTGCATAACAAAAATTGCCTGTTTGATAAAGAATTCATGAACGAAGTTTGCTAACTATCTTACCCGGATCCAGTCACTAGTACGCAATCGCCCGCAAAATCAATAGTCGTTACGTCACTGGTGTGTGACGTTAGGGTTTGCAGAGTTTGCACGTCTCCTATCGTGGCGGTCATCTTCATGTATTATTTCGTTGTTAATTTCCTTCATACACCTGTAAAATGGTGCACCGTAAGTAAGACAAGTAGAAGAACGAAAGAAGATTTGTAATTACTTCACTGTTCACATCTGCATTACACACGGTGTTAAATGCTCGATTTAAGCAACAAATTTCACTTACATAGTACCAAGTACATTGTCCCGTTCGTCTTCGTCTGTAACATTACAAAGACCACGTGTAAAGAGATATTTTTCTATATGCGAAAATTACACTTTCTCTTTGTTTTTTCACGACCGACAACGCTGGAAACTCTCGCCGGCGATAAAACAGTTGTGGACTTAACGTGATAAGTAACGCGTGGGCAACTACGTGGAGTGTAAAGAAGTGTGGAAAACCGGTGGCCTTGACATTGCCCACTATATGTAAGTGCATATCGTGTTTATGTACGTGGATTTATTGGATAGGATGCACCGCGTATTTAAGAATCAAGAAATTAATTACTCGCGCCGATGCTCGTGTTGCGAGCTAATTTCCACGTGAAATGAAATTTTCATAATTGCTCCGTTTCGGAAGAGACACGGGTACTTACATCGATGAAATGTAAACGTGAAATATCCCAAACATCGATGAAACTTCAAGTCAAACGATGAGACACAAGTTCATTGGAAACGTTGTGGAAGATTCGACGGTAACCATGTTTGCATGCTTCTTAAAAAGAAGATTCATTTCAGTGATGCATCACATGTTGTCACTTTCAGGTGAGAAACGGAACTCGATGGAAAACATCAAGTTGTACGTACGAACCGTCCTATGCTGCGACGATAAAGCGTCAACGCATGTCTACTGAGGCTGTAAAATCGATATGTACGAGGCATAAAACGGCTAGGCGGGAACAACCTCGAATTATTATATTTTGTACGTCGAGCAAATTATGTATTTCGATGTTGATAATTGATGTGTTCAAACAAGATGCTTGGAAATTGATTATTTAAATGAGATATTGCCTTATCTGTCAAGTTTATTATATAAATTTATAAGTTATAATACAAATTTATAATTTATAAGTTTATTATATTTTTTTTTTATAGTTTATTATATAAAAGCGAACGATTCCTTTCGCAATTATTTTAGAAGAAAAGTTTTAACGTCTTATATATTTCACAAAAGTTGGAAAAAAATGAGATTTTTTTTTATTTCGCTTTTGAGCGATTGATACTAGGTTTTTTTGAAAAAACCTGTTCCAGATAATTTTTGATTCTAATTTTTGCATTATATCAACTACATTAATTTCTTCGCATTATCTCAACAATTTCACACAGGCGTCATTCAAAGATAATTGATATTAAAATAATACCTACTTTTTTTTTTTAATAAATATCCTGTATTGTAACATACTTTTTTGTACTACAGTTTCGTCATCGTCGATAAACTCTACACTCTCGTACGTAGTAATAAATACTATTTTCATAATTTTATATAAAGTAAATAAAGTAGAAATCGTATATAACAATAAACAAGAACATCTACATGAAAGTATATTTTTAACAAAATTTATTTAACATTTACTATGTACACACATTTTTTACAATTGAATGAAAGTTACATTTGCTAATTCTTCATAAGATACGACATTGAAATATAATCGATATCTCATTTTTTATTTAAAATATGAAAGTAATATTCAAAGAGGCAGGGACAATTCTTGATGGAATGATGATTCATTGTTCAGAAAGTTAAGGTCATTTTACTTAACTGATCGTTATTAGCGAATTACTTATTATCTTGTTACTATAGTAACAGTGTATTTTTCATCACAACTTCTTTTTTCCCCTCATATTCGAACGGATTATATTTATAATAATAAATTTTTTGGACATTTCAAGAAAAGTTTCGGATACTGTAGAAAATTTTTTTTAATCTTCTGGAAAGGCTTCGTAATTTTTTAGCGTTTCAAGACTATACTTCATATACCTAACTGCGATGAAAAATTCCATACATATAATTACTAGAAACTGCTAGTTTTTGTACAAATTCTAATTTTTAAGAATGCAAATTTACTTACGTTAGGATAGAAAATTTATTTACTTACGTACTATTATACATAAATTATATGTACATTATAAATTAATTAATATTTAATGTTACAGAACTATGTGTTATTTTAAATATTTTGTACATTTTTTTTTTTTTATATTACGTCCAGTCTCTGCATTTCTAAATTATGTATCTTGAAATGCATAAAAATCCATAGTCAGACTAAAATCTTGTTTGTTGCAATGAATCAACGGATAAAGTCCAGAAAACAGGAATCCCCGATATCTCTATACTCACTAGGTATCGACTTCATTATCTCTTTTTATAATTCAGATAATAATAATCTAAAACAATGATGTTCGGGGAACTGAAATCGTGTATAAATCTTCTAGTATTATTGTACATTTCTTAGACATATATAATTCACTCGTGATACAAATAAATGATATTCCAAAAGTGGCACAATTCTAAGTTTCCAAAGACAGAAAACTATTTGGAAACTTATGATAAAATTATCACCAACATCATCAACGTATTGGTGTTAATAAAAAAGAAGAAAGAATATTTTTAGAATTTTTCATTAAAAGTGGAAACGTGTCATATTTTTCTGCATGTTCATTGTATATTTATTATAAAAATGTACATAACTGAAATAATGCTCGAACAATAGAGGCACAATTATGAGCCTTCATCTACTTGATCGATTAAACGAAGTTAGTATGTACATTAGCTAATAAACAGAAAAACAACGCAATTATAAATATACATACAATTGATCACGAAAGTATTCGAACACTTATGTGAATACGTTATGTAGATTACATGAAGCATTTTGATATTTCATTAATATTATAGTGAGAACATTGACGCTTCGTTACGGTGATGACTATCATAATCAAATAAATGAATTTGAAAATATACACAGAAATTAGAAGATGTTTGAAAGAGATCACAAAAGCATTTAAACAGTTGCAATTTATTTTGTTAAAAATCATGTCTAAAAAATATGAAATTCACTGGACTGTGAGTTTTTATGCAAATTCATATCTTTGAGAATATGGATTGGAAAAAGCAGGAGCTCGATTGAAAATTGTTTTACTTGACAAATATTGTAGCACTGTATTTTATACATTTTTTTTTTTTTTTATATATCAAGCGTGCAAGTTTGTATTTTAAATTGTATTTTCCTACAAATGCATTCAAAATAAATCCTCAAAGATGTTTTACACAAACGCGTGAAACTGAGAGGAGGAAAATTTACAGAATAAAAACAGGGGGAAGAACGCCATCGTTTTACAAAACTTGGTTATAATTCGAAGCATAAAGGATAAAACGCCGCCAATTTATACGTGGATTTTATGGCGAGTGTACGAATACTTTCGCGTGCCACGCGTATCCAGCCGGATAAATTAATCGTGACGGGTAAAATTTTCGGTACTTTCATATTCGCGCAATACGTTTTCATACGATTCCGACGGGCCATTGATATCTGTAATCTGATAAAACGCATAAGCGGTGTCGTACACGTCCCATACGTTCAGCAACAGTAACTCTTTCATTCTGGTCAATTCGTAATACTTCTTGACTGAAATCAGGCAAGACATGGTCAATTGCCGAGGCGGGTACTTGCCGTCAAATTTCTTCACGCAAAGTGGATTGAGATCCAAGTGACGTCTCGACAACGGTTCCCGTGACGAGTATCTTTCGTTGCTTATGTATACTCGAAAGTCGTCGGTGCTGTGGAGCGCGGTGAAATACCAGACGATGTCAAATGACAAATGAGTGGAATTGTAATAACGTACTCGAGGGAAATTGACGCGCGTCCACCTGTTTGCACCGTACTCGTCCAGTTCCTTAAAACTCTTGTTATTGCCGCTGGCGATTTTCCCGTCCGGCGGGCTGTACCTCTCATTGGGGAAGCCCTTCAATCCCTCCACGCTTTGCGGCTCGTACGTGATCGCTCCACAATTTTTGTTCACCCTCAGTTGACACAATTTGGCGCGGCTAGTTGGCTCGGAGATGTAACCGTGATAGTTGACGACCTGATAGATCGGTATATGAAGAGTGATGTCGGCCACTTGATAGAACGCGTACTCCGTTCCAGCTAATTTCAAGGTTGACAGGAGAACTCCCAAGCCGTTAGTCTCGTAGAAAATATCTTGGACAAGCTCGTATCGAAGGTGACAGCTGAATCGAAGAACGCGATCCTCGACGATTAGACGATCGTTGGATCGTTGATACGAACAAGCTAAGCTTAACAAGGATCTCTGAATCGGTTGGTCGTCCGTGTAATTGCCGGTAGATATGAATACTTGAATTTGGTCGACTACGACTTCAGCTTCGTTGCTGAACGTCCAGGCGATTTCCGTGGCAAAGTGAGTGGCATTGTGCTCCTGTATTTTTAGATAGGAACGATTCCAACGTTCTGGCCCATGTTCGTTCAACACGTTGTACGAAGGATTCCCGGCGCTGGCGATTTCTCCATCCTTCGGTCCGTCGTTTGAAAAGTCCACCGGGCCGATGATCCCGCCGACATCGTTGTCGGATTCGAATACGTTGCAGTCGAGATTGGTCTCCAGGAAACAGTTGTAAGCTCGGCTCGATGGTTTTGTTAATACAGCAGTGACAGCAGTGTTGTAGTTGCCCCCGATTTTCGTATGATCTTCGATCGATAGCTCGCTGTTCCCGACAACGTCGATCGTTGCATCGATTTCAATTGAATTGAATATCGCTGGTATTAGCAGGAAAGTTAATAACAACATTTCGACACCTCGCTAATAAGTCGTTCAATTCGGTTCGTTGATTGATCGCCAGTATTTGGGACTGCAGCACGCTTTCAATACGTATCTCGAAACTAAACTGATGACTGTAAGACACCGACGAGTATATAAACGTGGAAAAGTTATCTTATCTGTAGCTACGTGGGAGAATAGTTAATATGCAAAAATAAAAATATAGTGAAAGCGATTAGTAACTATTTTCTGGATCGAGCACACGTGTATGCACGACAGGAAATTAATTATTAAGTACAATAGGAAATTCTGCAGAATCTTTGCTTCGATATCGACGAATTGAAGCTTTTTAATCAGCTGCTCTCCACGTGGCGTTAACTGTGAAATGTGTGGAATTGGAATGAATCAGTTGGTGTTGTTCAGAGTTTTCTCTGTTTTGCCTTGCATTCCATAATCCAATCATCCGGACTTTTACATCATTTCGACGTTACAATATTCATAATCCACGATTCTGATCCGATCTTTCACGATCATTCTTTTATTTTTCGAGGCCACTGATCCATCGGATTGTACGTTCGCCAAAATTATTTGATTAACAAATATTAATTTAATGGACACTAGTGACACGTGTGTTTAAAATCGATTAGTTTAGAGAATATTTTATTTTCGAATTTTTTCCATTGAATATTTTATTTTTTTTAAATTTTGCGTTGGACCCAGCACTATGAAGGACGAGGAGAACATGCAATAATGCTATTTCGCGTTAAATAAATTACTAACAATAAGTAGTAATTGGAAAAAAAAAACATTAAAACGCGTGTGTCCGAATGATTTTATCTTGTATGAAAGACAAGGAGCGTTGTTTCGCGTTAATAAAATTATTAAGTATTTAAAAAGCGTATTTAAGACACGTGCATTTAAAATTGATGAGCTTGGAAGACTTTATCTTGAGTTTTGTTGGACTTGCTGTATGAAAGACGACGAGAACAAATACTATATCGTTGTTTCGCGTTAATTACACTATTAAGTATTAATTAAAAGCATATTAAGACACGTGCGTTTAAAGTCGATTAGTTTGGAAGAATTTATCTATATATGAAAAAGAACGAATGCAATACTAATTACACTACTAAGTACAATATTAATTGAAAGAACATTAAGACACGTGCGTTCAAAATCGATTAGTTTGGAAGATTTTATCTTTGGGCTGTATATGAAGAAGAACGAATGCAATACTAATTACACTACTAAGTACAATATTAATTGAAAGAACATTAAGACACGTGCGTTCAAAATCGATTAGTCTGGAAGATTGTGTCGTTTATTGGATTTATTATATGAAAAAATGCAATAATTCCGCGTTAATTATATCATTAAGTATTGGTTAAAAGAATATGACACGTGTGTTTAAAATCGATGAGTTTGGAAGATTTTATCTCGAATTTTTTGTTGAACTTGCTATAGGCAAGACAAAAAGAACGAACGTAATACTGATGTTTCGCGTTAATTATTAAGTATTAATTAAAAGTATATTAAGACACGTGCGTTCAAAATTGATTAGTTTGGAAGATTTTATCTTTGGGCTTACTGTAAGAAAGAGAACAAATGCAATACTAATTACACTATTACGCTATTAAGTATTAATTGAAAGAATATTAAGACACGTGTGCTTAGAATTGATGAGTTTGGAAGATTTTATCTTAAATTTTGTTGGAGACAAGGAGAACAAACGCAGTGGATACGTTTTATAAAATTAAAATTACAATTAAAATCATTGAAACGTCGGCAGATGTAAGAACAATATATAGTTTCACTTGAAAAAATAGGGATGTCTTTAAAAACTTGGAGAAAGTAATAACTCGCAAAGACGAAAATATATTGTGACAATATTTTATTTATTTAACTAAATATAATATAATATTTATAATATTATATAATATAATATTTAATATAGTATT